CTCTCTCTCTCTCTCTCTCTCTCTCTCTCTCTCTCTCTCTCTCTCTCTCTCTCTCTCTCTCTCTCTCTCTCTCGCTCGCTCGCTCGCTCGCTCTCGCGCGCGCACACAACGTGGCATCGATCGAAGAAACGAAACAACACATACACACATGTACACGTGGAGGGTTAACTCACCTTCATTCATGGTGGCCCGGTCGTCTGTAAAACTCCACGTAATGAACAGCCCAATCCTCAGCGTCTTGAACCTTCATTATGCAAAGTCCAACGTCCAGCAAGAGCTTCGTGACCAGAAATCCGCACGAACTGCGATCCAAAATGTACGCGCCTGTGTACGTGTGTGTGATGAGCCTGCGTTTGTAGCGTGGCGAGATTCTAAGTAGCCAGTAAGAATCCTCTCTCTCTCTCTCTCTCTCTCTCTCTCTCTCTCTCTCTTTATCTATCTATCTATCTATATATCTACCTATCACACACACACACACACACACACACACACACACACACACACACACGCACACACCCCTCCGAGTCTGGCGAAGCGTAAGTGAAGTAGCGAAATCGAAGTCGCAAAGTCGAGCGTTGGGAGAAGGTTAGTTCCCGCGCCCCCTCCCAAAATTGAAAAGAGGTGGTTATGGGCGGCCGCGCGCAGGGAACCTGCACGGTGCACCGGCCCGAAATTGGGCGCGGTAGGACCAAAAATTGGCTGCCTGCGATAAAACTGGCCATGGCGCGGTACCCGGGCCACGCAAAGATCAACACACAATCTGGACCGTGCGGTACGAGGCCAACGGTTCAGATGAGCTGATAACATCAAAATGAACAGCCTTCAATCCTGGCCATGGCTCAACAATGAAACGGAGGGCCTGGATCATCTTTTGGTCAAAGGCTGCCGTTTTTTTATTTTATTCTTTTGGGGGGCCTGCCCAAGATCAATTGTTTTTGTTAGGGAAATTGTTGGAATACCGCTAAAAGTCGGGGTATTTCATCAGATACCCCTTCAACACAGGGGTACGCTGAAATGCCCCAGACTTCTGCATCTGCACCTGTCCCAGTCATCAGAAACTTCACCACATGCCCTGGCCCTAGACTGCAGAGGCCCGCACATTTCTTTTGCCAACTGAAGGGTCCAACGGCGAGAAATACTGGGGCCTATAGAGAAGTTGCACAGGGCCTATAGGGGTATATACAAAAGATGACAGGTCCGATTCGCGAGTGGGGTATTTTACAAAGTTTCACACCTGTCATAGCCGCATTTTGCCATACCCATACCTTTTAGGGGTATCTAACGAAATACCCCAACTTTCACCAGCATTTCAATAATTTTCCCTTTTTGTTATAATGTACTGAATGATTGATAATCAACCTGGGTGGGTGTGAAGCGCAGCCGCCACTGGTAGCGGGCTGTTGGTAGCAGTGGGAGGCTTACGGGCGGCTGTGGGGGCGTCAGCGGTGGATCGGGCGTGTGTATCGCTTATTCCCACACGTAGCAGAGTTGTGGAGATTTACCGTGGAATAATGTGTCACTGTGTGAGTGTACAAGCAGCCATAGTTGTTGCTATGTAAGTTCGTGCTAAATGCATCACGATTCATCTTTCAACCAAATGTTGCCTATAGTAGCTTCATATCACTGCTCTGGAAACTTCATGAGCCATCTCAAGCACGACGTGTTGCTAAGATCATGAATGTATTCCAAGTTTTTTACATTGAAACAGTAGTTGAATTTTCTACAGTTGCGAGTTTTTTTTATGACGAGAGAGAAATAGAATTCTACATGGTTGCGCCTTAGGAGTAAACCAAAAACAAATGAAGATTAATGTGCCTTCCTGACCTAAAGGCAAATTTCTCCATATATGCAAACATCTCTTTATCCTAGATTTATTGTTTTTTTGTGAGTGAGTTTTTTTTTATTTATTTACTAGGGAAACACCTTAGTGCGAGTTCGACATCTTTTTGGTACTATCTTCCAAACACGTAAATAATTGATGAAATTCGTGTCCGTTGTCGTCCTTGTGTAGATTTGGAGTGTATGCATGTCGCTATATTTCTTGCATTAATTCATTATTTTTTTAACGATAGATTTCAAGCACGTTAACCTTTTTTTTTTCGCAATTAGATCTGCTTAAGATTGTTGACAGTAAATTTTGTGTTGTAGCCCACTTTTGTGTGTAGTTTATTATGTTTGGTTATACTTTGGTGTTTTAAATGTCTCTGATTGTTTTCTTTACGATAGGGTTTCACACACGTTAACCTTCCTTTCCCGATTTGACCTTCTTAAAATTGCTACTAGTAAATTTTGTGTTGTACACCCTTTTTGCATGCAGTTTATTGTATTTGGTCATACTTCGGTATCAAACATGACTTTGTTCTATGTCTTCTTTAATGTATCGCTTTCTATTTTTTATAGACATGGTTTCTACCATCCTCGTACTATAGTATCGTTAACTTTAAGTCGATATGACTCGTTAGAGTTATATTCCACTAAGAAACGGTCAATTGAATATAAGGTTTTTAAACTTAAATTGTGTCGCAACCAATATCAAGGTGCCAGACATGTAGAGGGGTATAATCGAGTGTGTATAACAAATGTTGTTATTGCGGTTGGGGCGCACAAACTACCGATTTACCAAATATTATGACTATGCGGACAACGTTGAGACATTTTAGTGACTGTCATTTGTGTTAATCCAACGATCGTGATAACCTTGTCAAACACTAAATTTGCTCTAACTTGTATTTGCTATAACCATTATCGCTATATGGGTTGTTGTAGTACTATATTTATAAAAAAAAAATCGAGTTAGGATTATTATAGTTATGACCTGAGTCATTGTCTTCAAGAATATTTAAGTAATATATAATTATTTTATATATTTGTTAAAATTTGTACTGGTCTCCTGAAGGCATATAGTACTATGCTTAATTGTTAAAATACTTCATCCTTGAGTGTTTAACTTGCACGTCATTTTACCTATAGAGTTATGAGATATAGGGTCAGATAGTAGGGATAGTCATACAAGCTATTTGACTTTTGGACCTACGTTGCATAAGGTTAAAATATTAAGTTACTCATATCAGGGTTGGTAGACTCTAGAGGCTTATAGAGCACGGAGTCTTATTTTGTAATTCCTCATTCGATCATTGTTTGATCCTCAAGGTTGTACATTGTGTAATCGGTTTGCTAAACTACCCACTATAAAATTATTTGACCTTAAAAAATTATGTAGCAAGATACCTAACTACTGAAGTAATTTACCTGAGGGTCGACAAACTTTTTAAGTTGTGTGATACCATGTAGCACCTCGTTCACGTTCGGTGACAGAACCCAAACGTTCGTGACCGAACAAGAACGAGCGTCAAAACCCTTCAAATGCGAACATAAAAAAAAAAAAAAAAAAAATGTAAAATAATAATACAAATAACTTTTATCTATAAGGTATGTTTTTTACCTTCTATCTTTGAAAGAGTTTCAAGGCAAACGCTAAAGGCTATCTTTGAATGCTTGCTCTCCCTTCATTTTTTGTTCGTACATATATTGAAGACCAAAACCCGTCCTCTTTCAGTTGTTTGTTGCTTTTATTCTTAGTTTGTATATTTGTTTTATTGTTCTAGTTGTAATTAGTAGTTATTGTGTTGTTGTCCTCCTTGATAGTGTAAAATATTTGGTTACAAAGATAGTTTTTTCTGTTAACTTTTTGTTTGTCGACTTTGTTAATTGTGTAGTAGAATGTACAATACATAGTCTGCAACATTCGTTTGGGGAAAAAAAACACAAGTCTAAAACACTTGGAGACTCGTTCCACTACTCTCAACTTGAGAAAAACTCAAGGGCGTCCTCGTTCCACTACGACAGTAGCGGTCCCCCTCAGCCCCAACAGCTAGGCTGGACCAGTTTTAGGCCGTCGACTTGATCCTGGTTCGGTACCGTGGGTTTTCCCATTACCTACAACAAAAAAATTCCCACAAGAAATGAAAGTTCAAAAAAATATATATATAAAAAAATCCTTCATATTTAAAAATTATCATTACAATGTTTATCCACTTCTAAAATTTCCAGTTTTATTTGATAAGTTCCCGTTTAAAAATGAGGTTTCCTTTCCAACTATATCTATTTGTTAAAGATGGAATGGAAGTGTGGATGAGTTTATGAAATGTCTTAATTATATATTCTAATTTAAATTGGATTAATCTATTTATGATTGAAAATCCTTATATAAAATGATAGTCTAATTAAAATATTTCATAAACTCATCCAGACTTTATTCCATCTCTAGCATGCAGTCCAAATAAGAAAGGATACCCCATTCTTGGAAGGAAAGTTTTCAAGTACGACTGAAAATTGTAAAAGTGGAATAAGATTTTTTAAGATGGAATGAAAGAATGTGATGTTACTATAGAATGATTATTTAATTCTGGGAAATTTTTCTGTTGTGGATCTAGGCCGGTTTATCACTTCTGCCTAGGCCCAAGTTAGGGTTTTTTTCAGTTGTTCACTCATGTTCATTCATTCATTCAGTGAGACCTACTCACGTTCAATTGCTGCCTCCGTATGTGTCCAACCTTCTTTTACTTTTTTTTTTTTTTTTTTTTTTTTTTTTTTTTTTTTTTTTTTTTTTTTTTTTTT